ACTCTGCTCAACAGTCCACGGTGTTATTTCACTGAATCTTCAACAACAGCCCCCAGTTAGCTAACACTACAGTCCCCATTTTATAAAGCAGGTAACTGAGACTCTGAGGGGGAAGACACTTGCCTAAGGTCACAAAGGTGTGTGTGGAAGAGCCAGGATTAGAGCCTAGGTCTGCCTCGCTCCAGAGCCTGAATCCGCCTGGCTGCTTCCCTCAAGGTCTTCTGTCACTGCCACTAACCGTCAGCTCCCCAAGGGCAGGATGGAACTCCTTCATCTCCATGTGTCCAGCACCCAGCAAAGGGTTTAGCCCAAAGCAGGCGCACAGCAAGGCTGGTGGGTGAAAGCCCATGTGAAGGAGGTGAAACCTCCTCTCCTTGTAAGAAAGTGGCCCCAGAAATGCCCCAGGATGTCCCCCACAGAAGCCAATCCAACCAACTCTCCCCCATCCTTGGTCAGAATCTACAGACCACCTACTCAGCTCCCTGGGGCCAAGGTCACCTCCAAGGAATGGTCGGCAGCCACATTTCTGAGGAAGGAAGAAGTGGGCTTCAACAGGCATGAGCAGTTCATTTTCAGACTGGCCCTTCTTTCTCTTCCCCATCTTGTCCTGGAGCATCTGGAGCAAACACTTCTTCCCTCTCTCATCCCTAAGACTTCGTAGGACAAGTATCACCAGCCAGACCCAAAGCCTACAGCTTGTACATGGCACAGCACACGTGTGTCTCAGCCAGCAACTCAAATACTTGAGGAATGAAGTAACAGAGTCCAGAGTCTGGGTTTCACCAAAGACCTGAGTTTGCCAACGTTTGTCAGCATGACTTGTCTGAGTAGTGGCGCATCACAATGTCTACCAAGAACCTACCCTGGAGACTCAGAAGCAAAGAAAGTAGGAGACTTTCCCTGTGCAGGGAAGAGACACAGGCATAGAATAATGCATGCAATAGCAAGGTGCATGCTCCGATCAAGGTACGCACATGACGAAAGTTAAGGGAGCACAGATGGGAGTGGTCACTTGTAGAAGAATTGAGTAGGTTTCACAAAAGAGGAAAAAGCTGAACTGGGAAGCTGTTTCCAAATCACTGAGGGAGAAGTCGTTTCCTGCCTCCATAACATCCATACTGTTCACCTCCCCACCACTGGGCTCTGTTCTGTAATCAGCAACTTGTGTGCCTGTTCCCCCCACACACTACGTGAGCATCTCGAGGGCAAGGACTTTGGGTATTCTCCATGGCTCACCCTCAACTGCCCAGTAAATATCTGCTAACAAATGATTTTTAAAAGTCTACTTTAGAGTATTAATAACAAAGAAGCTACCCCTTCTTGAGCACCTACCATGACCTATTACTGCAAGTACTTTGCATACACGATCTCATTTCTTCTACACAAAAACCCCAAAAGGCAGATCCTATTATCACCATCCATTTTACAGATAAGGAAACTGAAACTCAGAAAGATTAGGTAAATTGCCCCAAGTCATACGCTAGTGACAGAGGTGGACT